TGGGATTGGTTTTATTGCCATTGTGTTACGTCTCCTGTTCATTACAACAGCCACCAATTGAGCAGATTAATAGTACCCCGGGAATAAAAAATGCTTCTAATAAACATATATACTGCAATCTATATTAAACATAGTCATAGTCATTGTCTTATTATATGAGGTTATGGATGACTCGAGAGACTGGGTGTTGATGTTATGGTTTCTAATGACTCCGATCGAACGTAGCCTCCGCTTAAAAGCCCTTTATGCAGTTCCAGGTCAAACCACGAGGTGTCATAAATGTAACTTACGGGAAGCAGCGGTTCAAAACAGACAGTCGTATTATTAACTCATAATAATGAAGAAATGCGAATCGACTGTTCTGCTGCACGCAGGCTATTTCTAGTATATATCTGGTGTTTTAAATTGATCAATAAAATTAATGCTTTTCACCTATAACATGCCACAGAGAAAGGGGGATATGGATTAACAAGGAACAAAACAATCGTTGTTGTAAGGAGGTTCGTTTTACGTTTATTGGATGCAGTTTTATGTGTTGTCTTCGTGCCTTGTTTCACCACGCTGGTAGCTTTTAATTTATATCCGCAAGTTGGTAAAGAACAGATGCCCCGCTGATCTCTTCTTCCTTGACTGTTCATGAAACGAATAGTGCTCATGAGAGTTGTTGCCCGCCGGTGTTTTATTCAAACGCGGCTCCACCACGCTTTTAGCTGCACAGCATCTGACCCACTTCTGGGCGGCGAGAGAACTCGTGTTGGCGATCTGGCACCATGGAGAAGCCGCATCCGTCGAGAGGGGCGTTTTTACACGTCGCCTGCGGCGAGGAAGCATGGCGACGTGCTGAAGTGAGAAACAGGGGGTGGATGCTAAGATACGCCAGTTAGAAAGCTGGCTTTTTCCGCAAGGCTCATGATTTGAGTAGGGTTTGCTGCATGCGTGAGGTCAAGGGCATTGTTGGGTGCAGTGGTCTGGAGTCAGCATAGTCTTCAGGGCAGTTTCTTGAATTTAGTTACCTTGGAAAATCATACAGTGGGACTCTTGAACTGGGTCAACGCAGCGACATTTATAACACAGTGCGGAGTGGAGCGTCTACCTCAGCATTGTGTAGAAACCACTTTAATTGTTTCCCAAGCTAGCTAGTGAGTAGGCAAGCAAAACAGGAAACCGCATATTGATTCTTACTTTTTAATTGCCCCACCACCTATGCGCCAAAACAATCCTAGTTTTTCTGCAGGTCCCAGACTAGACCCCTGCAGGCTGTTAGACTTTGACGGACGATCCCAAAGGAAAACAAACATGTCTTTATAATACGACTCCGTCCGTCTCTCACCGGGCCTTTTACTGCCTCCATTAAGCTGAGGACCCATTAAGCTGGCCTCAGACTGCCGGTCTCCGAGGTACACAGAGTGGCCACATTTACCCTGCAGTGCCTATCAGGCTGGATAAGCTTCGGATGCTTTTAGTCAGCACTGAGAAAATGTCCTCGAGTGAAGCACAGAGACAGCCTCATTCCCACTGTGGGCTGGAGCCAGGTGGCTGATGAGGTCATGCACGTGTATGTATGAAGGGGGGCGGGGGGATGTAGAAACGTTTCCATTCTGTCTCCCGTTACTCCTCAGTTTTAGCAGAACTGAATCGGGGTATTCTAGGGCTCATGATGACGCAACCTGCTCTGTTTTTGAATCTATTATTATTATTTATTATCTGTAAATATTTATTTCCTTAAGATCCCAATATCCTGTGTACTTTTTACATTTCTTTGCACCGTGTTTACTTGTTTGTGCAATGCCTTTACACTTTATCTGTTTGGAATTAAGTCTGTGTTTGTCTGTGCAGTATGGCCTCTCTGCTGTATCACCCAGAATTTACCTCTGGGATCAATAAAGTCCAGCTTAATCTTACCCACGCAGGCAAGATGCCCCACCCCCATCTTACCCACCCAGACACCCCCTTTGAGTTTAATTTACAGACATGCCACCTGCAGACACTGTCATGCCGGAGCGTCTTGTAATCCCTGGGGAGGGGGGGGGGCCCTGGAGAAGGAAATGCAACATTCATGCTTCTCTGTTTAATATTGCAGGAGGACAGAATTTTGCAGTTGGAGACATTGTGCACATGGAGAAGCTCCTCAGCTTTAACTGCTCAGTGTTTTTGATGCTGTTCTTTAGTTTTGCCCCAAAGTATTATTTTCCCTACATGAATTATATTACTTTGAAAGTAATAAGTGCAGCTACCTGACACTGGCATCTCCTCCAGACCAGGATGCCGCTAGAGATGTCGAGTCCCATGAAAGCACATCATACTGGGCCACCAACCCAGAGCAATCCCCTTATGCTCAACCCCACCTCCCACCCATGTCCTTTGCTACCTGGGAAAGGCTGCAGGCACATGGTGATGTTGCAATTATAAACACTTGCCGAAGATGGGTGAATGGATGGACAAGACTCAGCTAAAGAATCGTATGCTCTTTCATTTTGGTTTGACATTAAATAGCGATACAAAAAACTGATCTGAGACCAGTTGGTTTGGGCCCTACAAGAAGACTTATTTATTAACAGGAAGACTTATTCATTAACGTCTTACTCTGCATTTGGGCACTTGGACATAGTTCCACTGTGCCGGTATCGCCATAGCGATCTCTACCACCGGCACCGTTTCCACAGGCAGCAGCCGCGTCATTAACCATAAGCGTGCAGATTAGCTGCTCCTCTGCTGATTGTGGTAGGGCCGTCTGCCAAGGTGCACCGATGGGCTGAAGTCCAAATCTGGCAGGGGTACATCTCTGAGCAGGGGAGACTTAGGCTGTTCTATTCATCCGTCACGTCCAGCTGGTTAACCGATGGACTCTGGGCAAAGACATAGGATGCACCAGTCCAGACACGTTCCTGTACTTCAACAAGTAGAGCATTCTTCTCCCACTATGGAGGTTGTGGGTCCAAAACCTGGGGATCACAAATTAAGTAGCCTTTCCCTTTGCATAATAGCATTTTAAACGGATGCGACCGGAATAGTGTATTTGCTATGTAGTTGGTAGAATATAGTATCTGAAATCCGCAGTATGTCTGAATCCTTAGTATGAATAAGTCAGTGAGTGAATGGAACCCAGACGACATGTTACAGTCTGTGAAATTCTGAAGTGTGCGACTGATGGATGCTGTGCTATCCCATAAGGTCACTGGTGCTGCAACCAGATATGAAAGTAGTGCTGGCTTACAGACCTTTGCCAAGATGGGCGAAGAATGTGCAACCTTTCTACAAGTCTAAGTAGGACGCAATATTCAGTTACATGAGTTGACTGGAATACGTGTTTTTTTCATTGGCAGTTTTTAACCTTTGCAGGTGTCGGGTTGCACTAGTGGCCAATATTGTGGAAAACGCCCAGCATTTTTGGCACCACCCTTTAAACATTACTACAGGAATACTGGCAGCAACATTAATAAACAATCAAAGAATGTTTACAAATACCATACACTGGATGACTAAATAAGTAACTGGAGTAACTGGAATGAAGTTCTGCAATCTCTAAAAATTGGAAGTGTTTACACAATTTTGGCCACTGGTGTTACATCATTGGTAAACATCTGAGTCAGGTGATGTGCAAGGTGGTGGCTGCAGATTGCCTGAGCGTATGTATACTGTTCTCGTGCATTCATACAACACATACTGCATTGATGGTTGAGTAGAAGGCTTCTAATGAAATTCAATAGGTCGTGTTTACGTATGCAATTTCAGACGCACCCAGTGTAAATGTAAAGCATGACACATCCACGTCCATTCTCAGTCGCAGGTACTCCCTCACCCTTCCGGGGAATGATATTCGGATCCCAAGCTTGAGTATGATGTGGAGAAGAGCAGGTGCCTGGTGGCTGGTGCTGCGTTCATAGTCACTGAGAGGAATTTCCTGGAATGTTCTGGACCTTGATTTGAGCTAATATTAAGATGTATTTAAATGCTCTGTGATACTTGGGACCCCATCAACTTAGTAAAAGCTGATTAGTTATATGATATGTATCATCCATCCATCCATCCATCCATCCATTTTCTTATCCTGTTCAGGGTTGCGGGATGATCTGTATCATTGAAATAAAATCTTGTTGTTGTTCCACATTGAGTATTTGCCAACCTTCTAATCGACAATTTTATTTTTATAGTAACATATCTGTTTCAAATATACCAGTATTTCTTAGTCTATTTGGAGATGAGGTAGGGTACATGAGAAAAATCAAGTTAATTTTTTTCGATGTTTCACTTACATTTAAGGGTTTTGTAAGAAAAAGCCCAGCTAACGTGATAAGCCAGTGTTCAACCTGAAGGAGTCAAAGCTGACTGCACTTTTTAGGACATCGTTTAAATTGAACAGAAAAATTGATTTCCCTCAGGAGATGAGACAATAATTGGACTTTGGGGTTAATGTACTAATTCGATGCATCGTGCCCTAAATATTGAATTAAACCACACTTAACGTTATCCGTGTTGCCGTATATTGCTGACTGTCCCTACGTCTTAGCAGAGCCCTCATTCCCACTAAGGGGTCCAGCAGTACTCAGATGCGATACCTCGGCGAAAACAGATTTCTTCCCAACACGCCGTTGGTAATGTGCTTTAAGCTGCATTGGAAACTTAAACAGAAATATTAAGTTGCGAATATGAGTCATAATGATTGCGAATATGAGTCATAATAATAAAATGTAAAAAATCGGGAGAAATAATAAAAAGAAACAATAGGAACTCCGACAGGGTTTTTTTGTCTTCGTGCTCTATATGTGAAGTGCCCACATCAAGTATATTGCCCAGAATCATTGCGAAGAATCACTCCTATACGGAATGGTCGCACCATCGCGAGACTATGGCCGTCGATAATCCCCATGTCTACAAATCAATTAAGCGTCATGTCAGCGATCGTGACACTAGGTCATCTGACAGCCAACGTGGCAAATGCCCACGTTACTCCGTTTGGGAGGCGAGCGCTAAGGGTATGAGGGGCGGGGGGTGGGCTCAGATCCGGACGCGCAAGAGTTAAAAAACGATATTTTCTCCTCCCGTTCGCTAGGAAGTGGGAGGTAGGGAATGGAAACGTTAGACAAGCGGTCTCGGGAGTAAACAGCATATTTCCCTGAATCGGGCAACAGAGAAGAACCTGTGCGTCTGTGGGGAATCGGCTCCAGCACCTGCTTTTTTTCCTGAAAAGAACTGAACGGAACCAGGGTCGCAAATAATTTCCAGGATAATCGAGGAAGATACAGCATAACCGGTTTCCGTATAATCATGCAGTATCCACCGTGGCTGTGTGCGTAACATCAAACGTGGAAGTATAGACTTTTTCGAATTGATTTTTCTCAGGGGAAAAAAAGAATTATTTATTTTTGCTGACCAGATGTAATAATAATATGCTTTCTCCTTTGCCAACGCGGAAAATGGATTCACGTGTAATTTATATTTTCAAGGTGTGACTATTTATTAAACCAAAACCAGAATGCCTTGAAACGGAACATGTAGCCTACTCTTAAATGGAAAGCAAAAATAAATACATTCTCGTCGGCGGAAAGTGGATTTTGAAATGTTTAACTAGCCATGTGAGAAATTTCGGCGATTATTACATTATACTTTACTAAAGATAACCAAATCATTACAAATATCAGGTTCACTGTAAAAATAGTGCAGATAATCTATAGATTAAGTGAAAAATGTAATATATATTCAATAATTAGGTTAATCGTAGTCCAGACTCGAGCACTAACTCCTCAAAATTGTGCAATGGTAGGAGCGATAGAATATAGCCTAACAGGAAACAGAAAGTCGCAGAAAACCTCAAGTAAAATGATGTCAAAATAAGGACACAGAAACGGAGATGTCACCGTACCAGATCGTTTTGGATGCGCTAAAAAGATGGAGATGTACAGATTTTCCCGAGCAATTCTAACGTGCCCGCGTACACAGAATTATTGCATTTAATAGTTATCGAAAGAAATATAATTACGTTCGTTATATGGAGAATGACTAAACACGGCGGAGAAGAGTATCTGCGTTAGTTTGGAGTTCCTCTGGCATTCGGTGGCGATCGGGACGTAATCCTTTTGGCGGAGTTGCTCTCTCAGCAGTAGCCAGTATGTCCGTGTTTGCGCTCTGCCGTCTTGACTCGGCTTGAACGGCAGGGCTGGGCCACTTCGCCGAAGCCGGGCGGCCGGTGCATGCCGCAGAGTCGCTCGGGAACCTTGCTGTGAAGGGTGGGTCCCTGGACCATCGTTCCCGTCTCACGGCATGGATGACTCGGGGATTATTCGGCGACGGCGGCTTCAGGTGAGAACGCCCAAACGCGGCCACGCAATGGTTAAATGAGGTTCAACCCTCCCAACTTTTATAACCAGTTTATTTATACGATTAACTGTGTGTACGGTTTTAACACCCTTAAACGGCATATGCAGAGGCACTGTGGGCTGTGCCTGGTGCAAAACGCAGATGGATTTTCATAGTTCTTTCAGTCGATAAATTGCACAATTTGAGCACAACTATATATATATATAAATATTAGGTCACTGATGTAATATGCCATTCTACAAAATGTACATTTAATTGCAGTCCATATGACTGAAAAATGATCTTAGCTATTCGAAAGATGCTTTGCAGACTGAATGTATAACAAATTAACCACCGACGCCCTGCAATTGAAAATTCAAAGGTAACTTTAAACAAAAATGTCAGAAAAAGCCTGAATGATTTTTGTGCACTCCCCCCCCCCTCACCTACGTGGGACTGTCCCGTCTGTCCTGGCTCATATAGAGGCGCTGTACCTATTCGACCACACAGCTGCCTGCATTGATCAGTTGTTGGGAAGTTAGGGAAGGGATGTCGGGGTGGGTGAGGATAGCAGCTGCCGTCTGCCGCGGTGCCATTACGGGGTGTGTTTGGAGTAACACAATCCACGAGAAACACAATCCCCGGCTTCCGCTGTCTCACGTGTATGCCTGGGTCTTTAGATCTCCAAGCATCAGAAGGATAATTCGTAATTCACTCGGGGGGCTTTCAGCCTGCGGCAAAGCCAGTGGTGGCCTCGCTTTCTGCACTGGGGGCCAGTAACCCAGAGACATGTCTACCCCTGATTCCCATCAATGTGTCCTTTTAAGCCCAGATCAAGTTCCCTGGAACCAACACTGGCAGTAAAGGGTTGACAAGACAGGAGCCATTGAAGATGCTCTTGGGAGGTGATCAGTTGAACCCCTGGCATGCCGAAATGTTGCCCTCTTCAGTACCTCCAGCGAAATCCGATTTTGTGACTTCCAATCCCGAGAGTGGCACCTTGTTATAGTTGATCATGTCAAGCTTATGCTACATTTCTGCATCGTTGTTGCGCATATTTGCACTAATTTGATCGGGGCTTTTTTCCTCTCCGGGCAAATAGCCCAGATGATTAACTTTACTGGCAGGACGCACTTTCCCTCTGCTGGACGTAGGAGCTGGAGTGCATGAAGTCATGTATCAGTTAATAGTTGAGTCATTCTGCCTTTCAGGAAGTGTCTCAGCAGCGTGGCTCTTTCCCGTCTGCTTGGGACGCTATTTGTCATTCTGTCTAATCACTGCAGCCACTCAAGGACTATAATGCTAGGAAGTGCTGGGGGGGGGGGGGGGGGTGGTGATATTTTAAATTGGCATGCTGCCATCCTCTGGGTCACGGTACAGGGAAACAGTCCCAAACATTAGTCTGCCTCCTCCTTGCCTGCATTTTCCGGTCAGAGGCACCTGGGCTTTTTAAGTTGTTCCCAGCGCCCCTGCTATTTTTGCGACGGTGTACTTGTCGACCTGGGGGTGGCGATGGTAAAAAATGTTATTAATCAAGGTTAGCTGAAGCTACTTCTTAGCGGTGGCCCCTGGCTTCGGTCTGGGTACCCCGTCTGTCGCTTTTGGAGATGGAGGGGGGCATTCTCGCTGGATGGGTTCTTTGCTTTGTGAGAGAGGAGCACTGGCCATGGAGGAGAAATGGGAGCAGGGAGTCTTCGTGCGATAGAATGGCGGGCAGGCAGGTGTGATGAAACCCCTTGAAAGTGGCACGCGTGAGCAGAGAGAAGCTCCGCCTCCTATCCCCTCTCATCCAATGGGGTGGGACGCCGGCACGTCAGGCCTGCCCTGGGTGCACTATCACTATCCCTGCTCCTATTCCTCTTCCATGGCCAATGCTCCTCCTCTCTCACAAAACAAGTGACGATGGGATGGCCGATGGGTCCTCAAGCCTCGTGCTTCCTTCCAGCCTTCCGTTTGCTCTTTTCATGCCAGCATCACCTCATCCCACCCAGGCTGACCCAGAGAAACAGCTCACGGCAGGTCTGTTTACAGGGTCAGACGTCCGTGGAAGCGCGGCTTCTTCCCTCAGGGCAGACCCGCCGCGGCCCACCTTTCCGGGGCCAGAACCGGCAGAGTTCTGGTCAGCAGCCCAGCTCTCTCAATGTGGGCCTTTCTCTGCCCCTTCGACGCATCGAGTTTTAACATTCGCATTTTCTGCAAACTGAAATTAGCTGCCATTGCAGCGATCTATACGAATGCCTCTCTAAATTTACTGCCTCTAAATGCCGCCTCTTATCTAACTCAGAGTTATGCTGTTACATGCTTTGGATTATAATGCTACGCCATCTTTTATTTATATGTTATAGATTTTTTTTTGTACCAAACATAGCACGACACTCAGGGGTATTGAAGCTAGACTCCAGTGGTAATTAGCATGTGTCATTTAAATTTTTGTGTCTTGACTGGTTTTTAAATGAGTTATTTTTGCCTTTGAGCCCAGTTGATTATTTTGTTGGCTGTGGCTTTTGTGTGGAGCACCTTCAAGGGCTTGTGGTTCAAAACAAGGATAATTTACTGTGACTCATAAGGACTCATATTGGTGCTTTAACTGGGACACTCCCTCCTGGCACCCCCAAGTCTGGTTTATTTTTTGTCTGTTATGGTAAATGCAGAAAAGCCACTATTTTTCTCCGAATTCAGGGAGAATAACATGAAATTGATGTCCATTGGCTGCTCGTGTGAGTGGGCGTGGCTTATTATCTGTGGTAAACTGACACCCTGGCTGTCACAGCGCTCAAAGGAAATGAAACTCTGGCCTTTGACACCACGGGGAACCTTCTGCTGGTGGGCGGGCAGCAGTCTGTCAGCTGTCCTGATACTTGTTACATCTCAGAGGGACCAAGCGGCAGACTGTGTGCTGACTTAGCAGGCAGGGATGGTCCAAGGTGACCTGGGCAAACGATATCGGTGCTTCTTCCCGAAGAGTGGAACAGTAGAGGTAAAGACAAGCGTCCTAATCAGAAAGAATTCAGGCTAAGAGAAGCAATCATGAGCATCGAGCTTAAATATCCAAGTATACATCAGCAGTCATACCATCTGCAGTTCAGACCAGGTGATCCACCTTGAAGCTAAGCTGGTTTGGGCTTGAGCAGTTTTTGGATGGGAGACCAACTAGGAAAACTGGGTTGCAGCTCGCTGAGGTGTTGGTGTGGCTGACAGGTTAGTCCATCTTGTGGACTGTGTGAATTCCAACGGCGCAGTGACAAGGATACTGTGCTATAAAAATGGTGCCAACATATAGGTGAGACATAAAACCAAGGTTCTCACTTTTTGAGGTCATAAAAGATCCCTGGGTATCTTTCGAAAGAGTGGGGGTGGTACCCTGGTGCCCTGGCTAAAGTGTCCCACTCTGGGCTTATCAAATCTGGCCTCCCAATACCTAATTGGTTCTCCTTCACCGCCTCAGCTACTGATTGGTGAGTGTACTGGTGCAGAATGGCTGCCATTGCATCATCCAGGTGAGTGATACACAGTGGTGGTGGTGTAAGTGGCCCCCTTTTGGGCTCTGGGTGCCGTGGTGGCTCAGGTGACCACTGTGCCCTTACTCCTCCAGAGGGATGAATCTGATCCTCCTGACCTCTGCTCTGTGTGTCTGGAGTTGGCACATTCCCAGTAAAGAATGGAGTTGATGTCGGTGTCCCCTCACATTCTTGAAATGACATGTTTTGGCAAATTGCTGTCACTAAATTGCCCATTGTGTGTGTGTGTGTGTGTGTGTCTTCTCTGATGGACTGGCATCCCATTTATGGTGTCCCCTGCCTCATGCTCCATACTGCCTGGGATAGGCTACAGGCCCATTATGACCCTGCACTAGATCAGAAGATGGATGGATGGATTTGAGTGCCTTTGGCTCTGTTTACACTTGGTTTTAAAATACTGCTTGGGAGACTGGATCACAAGTAGACTGTACCGTTTACACCTTTATCTCTCGTGCGTCTCACTGGTGTGCAGCTGACCGCTTGTGTTCAGATTGCGTTACTGCTCCGCACACAGTTATTTTGAAGTCCTTGTCTGGGACTCATCAGGATGCATTCGCATTTACACTACAAAAGATATGTGGTCAAATGCGCTCCAGACCATCTCAGCAAGAGCTTTGAGTGATCAGATCACAGTGCATCTTGGTGGTCGTTGTATTTAGCGCTGTCTGTTTGTGATGTGAACGCCCACGATGCATTTTAAAACGAAATGTAAACAGGGCCTTTGATTCATTGTTTGATGTTCTCACCCACCTGCCAGGTGTTCTTTCATGGCCGTAATTTTAAAATAAGAAGATGGTCACTCATATGTGCAGAGAGATAATGGGGACTAACTGTAGCTCTGTTATCAGTTTCATGCCGCGCTTTGCTGGGGAATTCCTCTGGCGTGCGGAAGTCACTCTCATACTTTTTATGTAGACTATCTATCATGGGAACTTTGAGTATTAATTTAACACCGAGGAACTCCAAGAAATACTCCAATAACGAAGCTCTCAGAGGAGAAATGGGAAAGACTTGTCTCTGGCAGGGAGATGGCGCTGTCCATCACTGACGCGTAACCTCACTCACTGCCGTGGGCGCTTGTGTCTATAATACTGTAGCGAATGTCCAATCTTGAAAACCCATAAAAGATTACTTGCCTGTAAATTACTCTTATTCTTTGAAGAGGAATCAGGAGTCCTTGAGGGAGTAGACTGGTTTCTTGACTTCACATAGGGGCAGAGCAGTTGTATCCTTGCAAAGATACTTTTGAAATCTTTTCTCTGCTGCTGTCATCACTTGGTCATTACGCCCAAAATGATCTTTTAACATACGGTCCTGTCGTAAGGAGAGACGGGCAGATGATGCGTTTTTTTTTGGTACAGATAGAGTCTGTATGGTCAAGTGCTGCGCAGTCTTGTTGTCACTCCTCTTTTTTTCATTCCCTTTTTCTTCCGGCTCGGCGCTCCGGTCCGAGTCTCACTGGCGGCCCTGGTTGTGCGGTCGCTCGCTCGCTGTTTTGGGAACGTGACCCAGATGCCCCAGAACTGAAGATGCATTTACAGTCAAAAGTGTTTTGCATGGGAGGTTTTTGAGGATGATAAGTGTGAAACTGGAAAGGGCAGATCACATGCTGGTGGGGGCAGTAGCGAGCTGGGGGCAGCAGCGAGCTGGCATGCTATCCTGAAGTAGCAGAGTTCTGCACATTGGAGGAAGATACATGTAGTTACACACTGATGACCAAATGTCACAAAAATCTATGTACATCATGCTGGAAACCAGTGCATAGCAAGGTGCCCATATACTGTGGGGCAGTTTATGGACACCTGGTCCCCTAACCATAGACATGCACATGGATATGTGGACAAGCAGACTCCACACATAGAGAGACAGCAATGGCTTTAGAATCCACAGCCCCGGAGGTGTGAGGCCAAGAGTATTATAATAAATCATAATAATTATGATAATAGTCGTGTTTGATACAATTTATATTGTTGCATCTGTTGTTGAGTTTGGGGGCGTTTGCACAAAGCAGGATTTCTCAGTTAACTGGGTTAACTTAAGTTAGAAGTCATGATTGTCGAATGGGAATACTCCTTAGCTAAGCTGTTATTGGATGATCAAGACATCTGGCTTAAGTTAACCCAGACTAAAGTCCTGCTTTGTGGGACACCTCCCCGGTCATTAGATGTTAAGTCCTAGGTCTCTTAACCTGTGGCGTTCTGCAGGCCCCAGCACTGGAACCTTTGGACCCGGCTGGTGCCACGTCACATGTCTGAGCCGCGCGCTCGCCGTTCCTCCCTGACCGCTGGGCTCTCCTGGGATTTCTTCCACAGGGGTGTGGGCATCCTGGTAACCTTGTCCTCTTCCTCTCTTTCAGAAGGAGCTCCCCCTCCCCCGGAAGAGCAGCAGGTGCGTGTCCATCCCCTCTCCCAACCGCTGGGTTTGTAGAACGTGCCGGAATGTGTGTTGCCTTGCTTACATTGTTATTTTTGAAAAAAAAGGTTGGTCAGTCTGTCGGCCTTTTAGTAATAAAACTAAAAGTAGCACCTGGACACAACATCAGCGAAATAGGTGACAGGAAATGTATTTGAATTAATTTCAATTAACACTAAGGGTGCAGTCAACTAACCGTGCTAATAAGAACGGAAAGTTGTAAGTAATTAATACGTGCCACAATTCAAGCAGAATCATGGAATGGTGTAATTGTGTATGGTATATTTCATTCCAATTTAAATTAATATTAATTAATTGTATGTATAATTAATAATAGGAAGTTGTAAACATAACTGGAATGATAATGTAGCAGGTATAAGAAGAAGGGTAATAGTGACACTAAATGGAGCTTCATGAACCACTTGCTGTATTTTTTGACCCCACTAGATGGCGCTCTCTGTTTAAAAAGAAACAGCTAAAAAAAAAACAGCTCAAAACATTCCCCAAAGCAAGCCAAGAACACATTCTAGTGAGGATGTGTAGCGCTTTTCTCTGCCTTTGTTGCCTGGGATGGACTTCAGGCTCCCCCAGGACCCTCTCTGTATAAGCCTTTGGAAGATGGAAGATTGACCACGCGATGATTGAGTCCATCCCTGTATGTATAGAGCACCATAGTCTGTGGTCGGGCTTGGTCTTAGTCAACACAGGTAAAGGGGTGGTGAGTGACTCAGTGGGCTAAGTCTCTGTGCCCGTTAATCACTGGTTTGAGCCGCAGCTTCAGCAGAATAGTCACATGTTCTTGGGCTCTTGAGGAAGGTCTCTGCAAGTAACCAGCTTGGCTTATTCTCATGGTCTTAGTCACTAAAGGTTACTTGTTTGATCAATTTTCTTGAACTTGGTTAGTACAGGTAATCTCTTTGTGTTTTGGTTAGTACAAGTAACCTTCGTGGCTCATTTACTTGGTGATCAATACAGATAACCTGTTTGATCTATCTTCTAGGTCTTGTCAGTATAGGTAACCAGTTTTGCCAAGTCTCTGTGTATTGGTCAGTACATGTAACCCGCTTGGCTCATTCTCTCGGTCTCAGTCAGTACAAGTAATTTGCTTGTATTATTCACTAGGTCTCGGTCAGTGCAGGTAACCTGCTTTTGATCATTTTCTTGGTCTTGGTCAATACAGGTGACATACTTGGCTGATTCTCTAGGTCTTAGTCAGTACAAATACCCTGCAAAGTCCAGTCTCCTTGACATGTCTTTGTTAATGTTAGAAGAATGCTTGGCCCATCTTCACTAATGTACAGCGGACTGGTCCCTGGCCATGGTGCTGAACTCCTGGCTCTAGTCACCAAGCTCTGGTAGATCTAGTCAGCCATCACAGCGTGCCTGCTTGTTCTATTTGTCTGCTCAGCACCTGGATCCCAAACTGCTGTTTTCACGCTCTTCTGGGGGCTGTGCTCATTTTTTTTGTTCCGTATGTTGGGGGAAGTTTGGAGGTCTGGAATTGTTTTTATTAACACGGACCTAGAAGTTCTTTGAAGGTGCTATGATTTTGTGGAGGAACGGGGCTCTGTTGTGTTTGGGATTGAGTGTGGGCATGTGCTTGTGACGAGTTGCACTGCGTTCGTGTTACGGCATGTGGCTTATGGTGCTTGTGACGAGTTGCACTGCGTTCGTGTTACGGCATGTGCTTATGGTGCTTGTGACCAGTTGCACTGCGTTCGTGTTACGGCATGTGCTTATGGTGCTTGTGACCAGTTGCACTGCGTTCGTGTTACGCTGAAGGCTCCTTCTCCACGTCATCATCAGCGTTATATTCTCCTCCTAATATACGTCCCAGTGTTAACTGTTCTCAACACAAACTGGCTATTTTACACAAACTGGAAATGGAGGCAGAAATTTTAACGTATTTAAGGATCTTTGGTGCGGTTCGCAAAAAAACGAGTATCCATATTTGATTGCTTAATTAATTACGTTTTTAATGAATAGAATAGATGATAAGATGTCATCACTGCGAGACAGCATTTGTATTGTGGAATCATTGTCCCTCTGCATAACCTTCTTTGTGTTTATCTGTCTTACTCCTTGTTTGGGGGGTCGTGGGATACGTGGGGGATTAGTGTCGTAATCAGATTCAGATGCCCTCTAACTGTGTGGCCAACGTCGCTGCCTAATACCTGGCCGCTGACAGGACAGGGCCCCATCCTCTCTGTGTCTGCGCCATCGGCCCAGGCAGCGGATGCCCCCCCCCCCCCCCCCCTCCCCCGGATGCCGCCGGGCAGCACGGCTACGTGCGGCAGTGTTTGGAAACAGATGGCCAGGCACGGCTAAAACGGGGAACGAGAGGGTCGAGCCCCTGGGCGGCCATCGAGGTGGGCGTCCGTCACACTTCGGGCCCGGTGCGTCACGCAGCTCTCAGTGCGTCTGTGCGCTACGGCCCAGTGCTTCGCCACACGTATGGGCTGCCCTGTTTCAGCGCCGGAGACACGTTGAATCCCAGTTGCTGCATGCATGCTCATATACATGTATATGTGTCTCATGTATATATAATACCCACAGGCCTTTGTGGCAGTGTTGAAAAACTGTAGTTTGTCTCACATCAGTAGCTATTCAAATGTCTGCCAAAATTTCTTTCTAAAAATGAAACAAATTCTGTATTATATTCCTTGAGTCTGTTTCACTTCCCCACCCAAAATGCACCAGACGCTTAGACCAGACTTTCTAGTCAGCCAGTACCACACACGCCCCCCCCCCGACCCCCCCACCCCCCCCACCAATGACAGTTATCAGCACCACCTGCAAAACAAGCATGACCATAATCCCTGTGGTCTCTCATTCGCTCACCCCACCCAAATCCTCTCCCTGCCTCGCTCCCTCTCCCTCTCTCTCTCTCCCTTTTGGCTCAGCGCTCTCGCCCACTCTCCTCCTCCCTCCTCGGTGACATTCGCATGTTCGTTGGCTCCCGTGCCCGGCTCAGGTTCGCGTCTGACATCGGCTGGGACTCGCAGGGGGGGCGCACAGACGTGTGTGCGCATGCCGGCACGCTCAGGCGGGCCCTCTGTGATTTTTTTTCTCCTCACCTCCCCCTCTGCTCGGTCCCTGTACTTCCTGCCTTGGCACGTTCGCCTGGAAAACAGACTCAGAACTCCGTGTATTTTTTCGTAAATTCCGTTTCGCATCTGAAAGCAGTGGCTGGCTGGTTGAGTCTTTGCTTCACTCAGTTTTGGGCTGACAGCCTTCCTGCTGCTCACACACACACACACACACACACACACACACGCAGACAGACACTCAGCTCTGCGTCGGAGGAGGGACGGAGCCCTGCGATGCCATTTCGGGCTGAACCTGCTTCGTTTTGACAGTGAGTGGCTGTAGCCGCTGGCCCCTGCCTCTCAGTGCCACGTTTTCCTCTCCAGCTACAACAATGTTCCGACGCACTAAAAGGTAACAAAAAAAAAAACATCCGAGAAAACTCTCTCTCTGTCTGTCTCTCTCTCCCCCTCTATCTCTCTCGCTTTCCTCTTCCTCTTCTCCCAAGCTGATACATCTGTAGGTGCTGCTGATCCGCGATTTGCGATGCTCGAGTTGCTCCGGTTTTCTCTCCTCCTCCCGCTCCCACCTTCTGCCCCTCTGCCTTTCACTTCTCTCGTTTATATTTAGCGAGCGTGTGAGCGTTTGAAGTTAATGCGTCCCGGGCTCCCCGTTAACGGTCTGTGTGATTCTCAGCTGTAAGTTTGAGGGCGTCTGGGGGAGGAGGAATGCATGTCTGCCACTTGTGTGTGTGTGTGTGTGTGTGTGTGTGTGTGTGTTGTGTTCATTGTTTACTTTTTCACATCTTCAATACATCCTGCCCTGGTTCTGTGTGTTTGATGATGAGCTTTAACCCATGAGCTTTTAGGAACATGAAAAGGCAGACAGTGGGGGGGGGGGGGGGGGGCGGATCGAGCTGTTTATGCGCCTTGCGTGAATCAATTCGGATACGGAGGGGCGTGTGCTGGAGAGTTCAGAGGGAAGTAAATGCTGTGTCACGGACCATGCCTGTGCGTGTCCAGAGGAGATCGGAGGTTCTGTGTGTGTGTGAGGGGGTTCGCTTCAGGCCGGAGCTGATACTTTGAGGGGTGGGGTGGCCGACCGGCCCCATGTTTCAGCCCGACCCACAGAGGCGGGTAAGAACGCTGGAGCTGAATGCCGTGTTACGACGCCCCAATGCAGCCGACTCTCACCGCCAAGTGGCCGTAAGGGAGTGAGGACCAGCGGCCGGCTATCTTTGTACATTTTTGTTACTGTGAAGTGTGTGTGTGCGTATGTGTGGACATATTGTGCCGCGTGTCTCAGTCATTGGTGGGAAAGCCCCTTCGGAGTGATGGAGGTGGAGGTGATGGATGAAGGTCACGGGCCCCAGCTGGTGCCTCCCGTGTAGGAGAGCGTGGCAGGGGGTTAAGTGGCCCGTGATGTGACGCCTCTGCTTTCTCCAGCTCACACTCAGCACTACAGTCTTGCTGTGTCTGTGCCCTCCCTCCCTCCCCCCCCCTTATTCTGCTCCTGCCCAGTTCTGTCTGTCTCTTCATTTTTTGAGATAGCTGAGCTTTTCTAGGGAAGCGTTACTGTTGGCCAGCCACGTGTGCTTAAACGCATCTCGAGAGAGAGAGAGAGTGCCAGGGGATTGTGGGGCGGGGGGTGGGGGGGTCACTCCCCAGTGTCTGGTGGAGCTCAGGTGTAATTCTCTTAGCCCGGGAGACAGAATGTGCGGTAAATGCCTGCCTCTCTCCCGGATTCACTGTTCAGCTTCAGCGTAGACAAGGACATCAGCTGCCCTTTTGGGCGACTGCCTGTATTGACATCCTGGCGGGGGGGGGGGGGGGGGGGGGGGGGGGGGGGGGGGGGGGGGGGGGGGCGGCAGGGTAGGCACTAGGCCAGATGTATGGATTCTGGTTCCGTTTGAACCTCATGGTGCTGCTTGGAATTCGATAGCCAACCTT